AGACTCTTCACCTAGAAACTCTTCTTGCACATACTTTTCACCCATATACTTTTCACCCAGAGACTCCGCACCCAGAAACCCTTCTTGCACATACTTTTCACCCATATACTTTTCACCCAGAGACTCTTCACCCAGAAACTCTTCTTGCACATCAGTTCGCCCATACACTTTTCACCCAGAGATTCTTCACCCAGAAACTCTCCTTGCACAAACTTTTCACCCAGAAACTCTTCTTGCACATACTTTTCACCCATATACTTTTCACCTAGAGACTCTTCACCCAGAAACTCTTCTTGCACATAGAATGGTCCCACATCGGAGCCTCAATTTTAGTTTCACCCATATATTTTTTACCCATATACTTTTCACCCAGAGACTCTTCTTGCACATACTTTTCACCCATATACTTTTCACCCAGAGACTCTTCACCCAGAAACTCTTCTTGCACAGACTTTTCACCCAGAGACTCTTCACCCAGAAACTCTTCTTGCATAAACTTTTCACCTATATACTTTTCACCCAGAGACTCTTCACCCAGAAACTCTTCTTGCACATACATTTCACCCATATACTTTTCACCCAGGGACTCTTCACCTAGAAACTTTTCTTGCACATATTTTTCCCCCATATACTTTCACCCAGAAACTCTTCTTGCACATACTTTTCACCCATATACTTTTCACATCCCCTACTAGATTAAGTGGGGGGGTTGGGTGCCCCCATTTTATAGTACTAAAACGGGGGCACCCATCCCCCCCCGGAGTGGGACCTCTATAAAATGGAAACACCCAAGGTCACAAAACAGGTGCACCTCTATAAAATAAGAAAACTATTTGAAAAAGCAAATATTTACAGCTACAAATTTACTGCAAAACCCTCCATCACTATAAAATGGGAGGCCCCAACGTACCCTGGAGCCTAGCCTTAAAATGAAGGAACTAGCCAACTTTCTACTATAGAATAGGAACCCCCAACCCCCTGTATCTTACAACATCCAAAAATGAATGGTTTCTTGAGGGGTTGGGTGCTCTGATTTTATAGAGATTACATGCCCTTCCTGGTAGGATTTTCTGGGGGTTGGGGGTTTCCATTTTATAGTGCCGCAGCCTCCCCACATCCTCCCACCATCATCGCCCCAAAGACACCACATTTTTCTTTAGCCCGGGACGTCCCAAAGCCAGGGGATGCTGACACAAAGACCAAGACTTATTTTCTGGTAGTTTTCCATTGGTCCCATGCTGTCCCATGTCCCAAAAGCCAAGGGATGTCGACAAAAAGACTGGTATCGACGGAGCTGGGTATTTTTGGGCAGTTGGGTATTTTTTTGGGTGGGATGGAGATAGTTTTCCATTTTATAGTGGTCCCATGCTGTCCTATGTCCCAAAAGCCAAGGGATGTCGACAAAAAGACTCCAAGCTGGGTATTTTGTTGTGTCGACAGAGCTGGGTATTTTTGGGGCAGCTGGGTATTTTAGGGTAGGATGGAAAAAAAAAAACATTTTATAGTGGTCCCATGCTGTCCCATGTCCCAAAAACCAAGGGATGTCGACAAAAAGACTCCAAGCTGGGTATTTTGTTGTGTCGACAGAGCTGGGTATTTTTGGGGCAGCTGGGTATTTTAGGGTAGGATGGAGCTTCGGACTTTCCATTCGCATGCCTTGGTTCGGCTTCAGGGTTGCGCGGCACTTGCGTCGCAACTGTGACACATTAGACCGGGCTTGCAAGAGATAAAACGTCGCAAACTATCGCACGGAAGGTGCACGAGAGCTGCTGTAAAAACTCAGCAGAAGAGTTAATTAACTGGAAACGGATGCACGGATGCTCGGATGCATGGGTGCAATGAAAGGCCGGATGCACGGATGAAAATGCACGGATGAAGGGGTATCATGGCCCGGTAACAACACCCAAAGAAACATGCATGAAAACGTGCAAGGCAACCATTATACAAACGTCACAAGATCTAAAGAAACTAGATCGACTTCAAACAGGACTGACCCTGCATAAACTTGCAAAGAAACCAATTAGCCTCCTCCTAGTGGAGCGCGGCATACCTTCCAACGTCTCTCCATGTTGGGGTTACTACCACAGTCAGTATGAAAAAACTGCCACAGTGAGTCAAACACAAGCCGCCCAGACCGAAAGGATGGACACCCTGGAACCCCATAGTGTTGCTGACAGTATCCCATCTTGACCAAGCTGCGACAGTCTGTAGTTGGTTTGGGTGGCGCATTTGAGGCATGTTCACGCAACCAAGCTAACATCTTAGTCCAAGTCCGGCTTTGCTGTCGCATGGTCTCATTGGCTGAGTCCGCTATTGGGCAGATTTCAGGGAGCTCATATGACCTGATTTTACCTCTTGGACCTTTCTTTCCTGCATAGACAAGGCAAGGGGCCATCGAACCAGACCAGTGAACAAAGTCAACATACAATTCCAGGCAACTAACTGGCTGTTGCGTGTAATCCCACTCTAACCCATGAAAGTATTTGACAACCCTCTCAGCAAAGACATCGCCAAAACGGCATTGTTGAATGGCTTTACGTGGAACAACACAAGACATCTTGACCAAGTTCTCAGGCACATGACGAGGAACATACGCAGGCAAATGGGCTCTTGCAGTATCATCCTTTGTGCAAAGTTTCAACGCTTCCACGTTCACATCATGCCAAAAGGAATGGAAACGTTTCAACATCAGGATATTGTGCTCCCTTTCACCTATGTTCCTATTGATATCATTGGCAACATTCTTCCAAGTCTTCTGAATGCATGCTTTGGCAAGGCGATCAGCTTTGTCGTTCATGACCGCTTTCCATCGATCTGTGGGATCAACGATTGCATCCAGGTTCTGATGAGCCTTAACCTTGGAAACTTGGACTTCCCCAACGTTCCTCATTCTGACAGCCTCCCATACCAGATTCCAGAGATCTTCATGGTCAAGAAAAAATGGTCTTGTACCAGCTCTTCTCGCAACCAGACAAGCCTGAAGGTTTACCACAACAGCTGCGCAGTCAGTGTAGATATGAACTATTCGTGCATCCTTCAACACCTGAATGACACCCCAAATCTCCGCACGATACGAGGAATGGTTACTACCAGGCAAAGGTTTCGAACTAGTCATGATGACATTATATCCACAACAACCAACATAGGCAGCCGCAGCAATTGTTCGTCCATGAAAGCCCTGGCCAAGTGCACTACCATCAGTGAAGAAATCAAAACATTGTTGTTCACCATCCGGCAACTGCATCTCTGGAAGACAGGATTCCTCTGAAAACTTCCAATCCAGCCATGAAACATCTTCAGGTAAAATCCCCCAAGCAGAAACAGCATCAGGCTGGCTAGCCAGCCATTCAAACAACTCACTTTGTTCTTGTCTTCGCTCCTCAAGTTCAGCGCAATGCCACACCCTATGCAAGCGTCCGTCCTTCATGCCGCAGAAAGGACACTTGTCATTTTTGGCACCTTTCGAATAATGCACAAGAGCATCATTGGTGACATGTTTGCCACAGGCCAGATTCATAATGTCCGTCTTTTTGGTGCAGTCTTCCTTCCCTACCGCTCGAAAGAAGGCAGGCAAATCAACACACTCAATGTCAAAGGATTTTCGATTCTTAACCTGTTGGCAAACAAGAAGCGACCATGAAAGCTTAAGCATATTCCGAATATGTCCCTTGCTATCAAGAATCCAGTTGAACTTCCAACCCCTTGAATGGACAACTCTTCCACTGGCACGGCAAGTCCACCCTTGATCCGCAAACGTTCTTCTAAGAAAAGCTGTGGCACCTTGTCTGTGATTCATGAAGGCAAGGGAATGCAAAAAATCCTGCTTCCACCCTGTGAATGTTTTCAGAAACCTCCTCCAGAAAAAAATCTTACGTAGAAGCAGAGATAATGCAACGTCTTCAACACCCTCCGTTACATGAGTGGACAAATAGGGGCTGTTGCCTGACCTAGACCGCCCCAAGGATCTACACATCGCAGTTCTCAGCACTCGCAAGTCAGAAACGGTGTGATAAACAAGTTCGCTGCCATATCCAGATATACCCAAAGCAAGCTGATTGGTCATCTGTGCACGAAATCTCTTTGGCAATTTCTTGGCCCCGACTCTTTTCAAGACCCGGGCAGTCTTATCAATGCGTTTCTTTGTCACCTTTTTGGTGGTTCGCTTGCTGTATGAGACATCGCAGCCAAGCTCCTCAGCAACAAGCTTGGTTGGGACAGTTCGCCCAGCAACTTGAATGGTGACCAATTCCTTCCTGGAGTTCTTATGAGTTGACCAGGTCCATGACTTCTCAACAGAAATGTTCATACGCAACAACCGTATGATGTCATCCAAAGCTCTGACTCCAGATTGCAAATCAGCTAGAATCTGCGCAATAATTGCCCAGTTGTCTGCGTACGCAATACATTGGGTTGTTGGATGGTTCACGTTCACCTCAATGAAGCTGGACACCCACACAGTCAAAGTGGTCATCGCAACCAAAGACATAGCGCAGCCTTCCGGAACTCCTGTTGTTGACGCAAGCTGGTCACCAATTTCACCAGACAGTTCCAAAACTCTTCTAAGCTGGCAGAACATGTTATCAAGTGCAGTAACATACTGTTGAGGAATGCCAAGCCTTACCATAGCTGCAAGAACAGGTTTCCTGGGGATTTGGTTAAAACACTTAACAAGATCTACCGTGATCCCCATGCGGGGGACACCATCAATCTGCGCTTTCTCAACTTGGAGCATCACGTGCGCTGCAAGCATGTCTGCACTGACACCAGCTGCTGTACCAGCAATAGATGGTGGCAAAAAGGTCTTGAAATGCTCCATGATTTGCAGGGATCTGTATCTGGCCCAATTGCGATATATTCTTGAGGCAATGGTAATAGGCCTTGTTTGAAGTGGGCATTTAGGTCTGTCACTGGTTTTGCCCAACATCACGACCCTCGCAACCATCAAAGAGGCAGGCCAATCCATTGTCCCCTGTTCGATTGCCATAAGGATGGTCAATAGCCATTTCACCAGAACATCAGGCATGAAAACAAGTTCCCTAGGTGAAAACCCGCATGAACCACGTGCACTGCGTTTAGCTACACTTTTTGCATTCATCTTCCACTCCTCGACCTGCAATGGCTGGAAAGCAAGCTGAGGAAATTCCCGGATATGCCTAAGTGTGTCAAGTGCATCAGGCCAGTTTGCATTGTCATCGTCAACAGGTTCTCGCAGCCACATTTGGGACCAAGCGTCTCCTGTCATTTTCTGAAGGTTGTTTTGGTCAGCAACAATTCGCAGCTGTGTCAAAAACAAGTCTTCTGTGTTTTTCCATTTCAACTTGCGATCCAGGACGACATGTTGGGGTCGTACTTCCGTGATAAAACATTCTTGGTCTTGAAAGTACAAGGGGTATTGTAAATCGACATTGTCACATGTTCCGCCGATCTTCAAACAATTTCTCCCCTCTTTGGGCCATCTCTGTCGCACGACTGGAATTTTCACAACTTGTTCAATGGCATGGAAGGCAGGAGAGCCTGGGTCTCGCACAGCTTTGAAAGCATCTGGACCTCCTTTCTTGATATCTTGCAACATTTTACATTCCCTGGCAAACCTTTGCGCTTTGGAGACTTCAGCTACAATCACTTGCACATGCGATTTGATCGCTGTTGTCAAGTATTGCACGTATTCAACCTGAGGGCACATTGTGGGGACGAAAATACCTAAGTGGGAAAGCACAAACTCTGCAAAACTCGGAAGAAATCCCTTGGCAGCAAGGATGCATTTCCACAAACTTTGGCATGACTCAGGGGGTTGCAGTTGGCCGTACTTATTTGCAGCATTCACCTGGGAGGCAAGGCTCTGCAATCTTCTGACCTGTTTTGTTTTGAAACGAATTTCAAGAGATGGCTGGCAAAGCTCCGGATTGAGGGGGGTAGGATGGAGAAAAATAATTTTATAGTGGTCCCATGTTGTCATGTCCCGAAGCCAAGGGATGTCGACAAAAAGACTCCAAACTGGGTGTTTTGTGGTATCGACAGAGCCAGGTATTCTGGGGCAGCTGGGTGCTTTCGGGCAGGATAGGATGGAGAAAGTTGTCTATTTTATAGTGGTCCCATGTTGTCAGGGATGTCAAATTTGAAAACTCCAAGCTGTGTTTTTTGGGTGTCGACAGAGCTGGGTATTTTGGGGCCGCTGGGTTTTTTGGGGTAGGATGGAGAAAGTTTTCTATTTTATAGCGGTCTCATGTCCAAAAGCCAAGGCCTGTCGACAAAAGACTCCAAGCTGGGTATTTTGTTGTATCGACAGAGCTAGGTATTTTTGGGGCAGCTGGGTATTTTTTTGGGTGGTTTTCCATTTTATAGTGGTCCCATGCTGTCCTATGTCCCAAAAGCCAAGGGATGTCGACAAAAAGACTCCAAGCTGGGTATTTTGTTGTGTCGCCAGAGCTGGGTATTTTTGGGGCAGCTGGGTATTGTAGGGTAGGATGGAGAAAGTTTTCCATTTGATAGTGGTCCCATGCTGTCCCATGTCCCAAAGCCAAAGGATTTCTCCAAGCTGGGCATTTAGGGGTATCGACAAAGCTGGGTATTTTGGGCCAGCTGGGTATTTTGGGGTTGGATGGAGAAAGCTGGCTTTGTTTGTCCACTCTATTCCATTCTCTTCCATTCTTACGTTTCTCTGGTTTGGGAACACTCCCCCAGGTTCCCATTGCCATCCATGCTATAGCAGGAAACGGCACGCGAAGACTAAGCAATGCAACTACAACCCATGATCACTATAAAATGGAGGCTACCAACCCCCAAAAGGAATGATTTCCTGAAACCTCCTGACTCTGTAGAATGGGAACGCCCAACCCCCATGCATGAGCGTCATGCCAAAAAGAGAATCGCTATAAAATGAAATTTAATATTGTAAAATCAAAATCCTCCTGCCCCCCTGGGATCACTATAAAATGAAAGTCCCACCCCCCTGGAAAAAAACATCGCTAAATTTTGTCTAAAAAACATGGTTTAGTGGGTCCCCCATTTTAGAGAGGGTTATTCCAAAGGGGATCTTTTCACCCAGAGACTCTTCACCTAGAAACTCTTCTTGCACATACATTTCACCCATATACTTTTCACCCAGAGATTCTTCACCCAGAAACTCTTCTTGCACAGACTTTTCACCCAGAGACTTTTCACCCAGAAACTCTTCTTGCACATACTTTTCACCCATATACTTTTTACCCAGAGAATACTTTTCACCCAGAGACTCTTCACCTAGAAACTCTTCTTGCACATACTTTTCACCCATATACTTTTCACCCAGAGACTCCGCACCCAGAAACCCTTCTTGCACATACTTTTCACCCATATACTTTTCACCCAGAGACTCTTCACCCAGAAACTCTTCTTGCACATACTTTTCACCCATACACTTTTCACCCAGAGATTCTTCACCCAGAAACTCTCCTTGCACAGACTTTTCACCCAGAGACTCTTCTTGCACATACTTTTCGCCCATATACTTTTCACCCAGAGACTCTGCACCCAGAAACTCTTCTTGCACATACTTTTCACCCATATACTTTTCACCCAGAGACTCTTCGCCCAGAAACTCTTCTTACAAATACTTTTCACCCATAGATTTTTCACCCACAGACTCTTCACCAAGAAACTCTTCTTGCACATACTTTTCACCCATATACTTTTCTTCCAGAGACTCTTCACCCAGAAACTCTTCTTGCACATACTTTTCACCCATATACTTTTCACCCAGAGACTCTTCACCCAGAAACTCTTCTTGCACATACTTTTCACCAATATACTTTTCACCCAGAGACTCTTCACCTAGAAACTTTTCTTGCACATATTTTTCACCCATATACTTTCACCCAGAGACTCTTCTTGCACCTACTTTTCCCCCATATACTTTTCACCCAGAGACTCTTCACCCAGAAACTCTTCACCCAGAAACTCTTCTTGCACATACTTTTCAGCAATATACTGTTCACATCTTTTCACCCAGAGACTCTTCACCCAGAAAACTCTTCTTGCACAGACTTTTCACCAAGAGACTCTTCACCCAGAAACTCTTCTGGCACAAACTTTTCACCCATATACTTTTCACCTAGAGACTCTTCACCCAGAAACTCTTCTTGCACATATAATGGTCCCACATCGGAGCCTCAATTTTTCCATTGTGTTTTCATCCCATCAATTTCCGTCATTTTACTCTTATTTTACTTGGCATCATTTTGGTCCCACATCAGAGCCGCAATTTTTCCAATATGTTTTCCATTGTTTTTCTCCACTTCTTCATCATAGTCCCTCGATTTTTCCATTGCTTTTCCATCGCTAATGGTCTCACATCGAAGCCACATTTTTTTCATTTTTTCCATTGCTTTTCCATAGTTTTACTCGACATCATTTTCCCCTCCTTTCCAGTCTCCCCAGTGTTTTTTTCACAGGTTTTCCTCCAGTTTTACTCAATCGTCCCATATTTTACGCTATCAATTTATCCTTCCATTTCATCAATTTTTCCAGTGTTTTGGCATGGTGTTACTCGATTTCTCCATCATTACCCTTCTATTATCTCTGTGTGTCTAACGCTTACCCAAATGCACCTTCCACAATCCCTACAGTTGCACCGTATAAACGGTTTTGCTCGTTTCTTCCATGGTTTTTTTTTCTGTGTTTCTACTCCATAGTGGTCACACATCGAAACTGCAATTTTTCCATTGCTTTTCCATTGTTTCACGCGTGCTTTACGCGATAATGGTCCCACATCGGAGCCTCAATTTTACTTGGCATCATTTTACCCTCTCCCTATTCTTTCCACCGTTTCGCCTCGCGTTTTAATCAATTGTCCAAGCGTTCTACTCAAATTTTCCATTGCTTTCCCATTTGTTTCCATTGTTTTATGTCAAAGTCCCTCCTTTTTTCCATTGTTTTTCTCATCATTTTCCCCTCCTTTCCCATTTTTTCCCATTGTTTTATGTCATATTCCCTCATTTTTTCTATTGTTTTTCTCATCATTTTCCCCTCCATTGCAATCTGCCCAGATCCACCTCGGAGGGCGGACCAGGGGGGAATCGATACCCCAACGTCACCCAATTGCCACCTGGTATACATAACCCTAAAAAAGTTTACCTGTGGCCACCTTTTTTACCACCTAATTTCCTCATTTTTGTCCCTCTCGGGGCGCTCTGCCCCCAGACCCCCTTAACTCACTTTGTTCGCAAAAATAACTTCGCCTAGCCTAGCGGCTGGCTTTCGTGATTATGTTAGTAGTAATATCTTCATTAATTATCAATTTAAAATGAAATGCTTGTACTCCTATGATACTATCTTTATCATTGTCTTCATCTATATCTTTTTGTATTTCTTCAACTGCTTTCTCTAACATTTAATCTACATTATCTTCATCTACATATTCATCCAAAGTCATTCATAAAATAAATCTCTCTATAACTAAATTAATTTTCCCATATTCCTTTTCTGGGAGTTTTG